ATCGTTTCTACCTTTGCTTATTTCGGGGAAAATCTACAAGTAAGAGTAGGGCAGGTTTCCGAAAATTCGCAGTGCTCAAATATATTTGAGGTCACACAGAGTAAGTATTTCGTAAATGCAAACAACGCCCAATTTGTCTGTTACGTACTACTGTACTTGTTTTATACTTCAATAATCATCCGATTACCTTAATCTTTCAACACGCCAAGAAGTTTGGATTGGAGTTTATGAAATATGGGGAAGAATATCCTGATTCGAGGTTTGGAATGTAGGGTCTAACGAATTATAAATATATATTTGCATTTTTTTTTCGTAGAAAGGTTATAAATATAAATAATCAACATCAACTATCACGCTCTAGATGGGACGGGGAAGGTTTTGTATTCGAGCAATCCTCAAGCTCTTACTGGGACCTAGCGAAACTTCTCTGGAAATATGGTTGGACTCCGGTGAAGGTTCAGAGAATGGTGGATTCTATAGTCGGCAAGTTCCTAAAAACGTATGAAATTTCCGAACCTTTTTTTAGCATCGGCTCCGAAATCGAACGGCTCCACGTTGATATCGAGACACAGTTCAATGCTCAGCATTACTTCTCAGAACTGAAGAATGTGAATCAACTTTATTTACAAAACTTTGTGGAGCCGATGACCAGAGTGAATTATGGGCAAAACTTGGGGGAGATACATGTAATGGGAGCGTTCATTAGTTTAGCACCGCAAGGTGCAAAAAGCATTCGGGGTGGAAATTATCAAATTTTTGAGAATTTCATTAAACATTCAGAAGCGGAACTAAGGTTAGACACGGAGGTATCGAAAATTACAAAAGTCATTAGTATAGAAAACGATAAGGAGGTGCTGAAGTATATTGTGGAAACGAAAAATGGCGAGTTGGATAATTTTGACGCAATCGTTTTGGCAACTCCCATAGTAATTATTTCCGTTATTTCATCATTTATGATTGTTCAAAGTAGCTCGTGAATTCTCACATTCTCCTCTGTTGTTTCATAGCAATTTTCAAAAATCAAATTTGAAAACATAAATGTCGAAATGAAGGAGATTCCATATGTTACCCTCCACGTGACACTCATCGCGGGCCGCGTGAATCCCGCTTATTTTGGATGTGAAAAGATCGAAGAAGTTCCTCAGCAAATCGTCACCACAAACAGCGGCAAAACAGAATTTCTGAGCTTTGCCACTAAGCTTGTTTTAGAAAATGGCGAAACTTTACATAAGATTTTCTCGCATCAGGAGATGAGCGATGAAGTGCTAGATAGGATATTCACGGAACGATCTTGGATTTATAAGAAAGTTTGGAAGTCCTACCCACGATTAATACCAAACCAATCATTCCCCAGGGTGGAAGTCGACGATAATTTCTTTTATGTGAATAGTTACGAGCCATTTATTTCGGTGAGTATTCCGGGATACGATATCATGCATAGGATGTCTTGACCATTAACATTAATTTTCTTCATGTCTAGACCATGGAAACCGAATGTGTGTCGGGTAGTAATATTGTAAAACTTTTGGTACAACGATGGACCAGAGCATCGTAGGCGTGATAGAGTTATTCTTCACAACGAGACTTTGGATTATGCATTATTTCGTATCCCTTCCATTCCCATTTTGTTCAAGTTACAACGTCCATACCGCGCGCGATTCTTTTTTTAATCGTCATTTTAAAATTCCGTATTTACATCATCAAATATTCATTAAACATTTTATTTTATTCTGTTTTTACTTTATTTTAATGACACAAGTGCGCAATCGTCCCGTGACCTCAAATCATAGGATTTGAGGATCGCCATCCTAGAAAGGATTGGACAGGTCCCGATCCTGTAGAACCGATTTAATATTTATACGTGCAATCTTTGTGTGACCTTCGAACTTCCACGAGGGATCTTTAGAAAAAACGATAGACAATTTGTTTCATCGTTGTCCTACTACATGGCTTGCTAAATTGTGTGGTTTTGTATAAAAATAGCTATTATTTTCTCTTCAATTTTTCCCCATGTTGAAGTTGCGGACAGTTATTTATTTATATATTTTAGGTGGTTTGTGTTTAAAAGAAAAAAGTGCTTACGTTCGTGCGTGGTTGAATCCTGTCGAAATTACAAAATCACAGCAATAACTAAAAAACCAATCTTAGATTTATTTATTTATTTATTTATTCACAAATAATAATAGTAATAAATAATAGCAGAAAAAAACAAGCGATTTCTATAAATACACTGTATAATAAATAATAGGTTGATTAATAATGAATGTGAGCGAGCAGCGTTATATACCAAAGAAAAAAGTGAGGGAACTTTACTCGAAACAAGAGTTGGTTGGCAGAGGTGCCTACGGGGCTGTTTATAAAGGGTAAGTTATTTTTCTTTTTTTTTTTAAAAAAAAAAATCAATCCCCCCGGGTTTTCCTTTAATCGAAATTCTGATTTTCGGTCCGTCATCCTCCCCCTCCAGGATTAACAATGAGACAAATCAAGTAGTAGCGATTAAAGTATTGAACTTGGATGCAGGGGAGGACGATGTGGGTGACATTGTTAAAGAAATTAACTTACTTTCACAGCTTAAACATTGTGATTCACAAAATATAACGAGGTATTATGGTAGTTTTCTTCATGGCACTAAATTATGGATCATCATGGAATATGCCGCCGGTGGCAGTATTAGGACTTTGGTGGGTTTGTGGTTTGCGAGAATTATTGCGGTTGATATATGTTATTCACTGTGCTATCTGCTAATTTCTTAGTTGAAAGCCGGGAAAATAGAAGAAAAGCATATATCTATAATTACCAAAGAGGTCTTACAGGCGTTGAGTTATCTACACAAATGCAAAATTATTCATCGAGATATTAAAGGTAATCATTATTCTATTTTAGTTGTCAAGTCATGATTTAAATAACTTCATTTATTAATTCATTTTTATTTTCGCGGGATGAAATTAGCGGCAAACATTCTGTTGACCGCTGAAGGGAAGGTACAACTTTGTGATTTCGGTGTTGCGGGACAGCTGACTGCCTCTTCAGCAAAACGTACATCATTTGTCGGAACTCCGTATCCTTTGCAGTTAACTGTTAAAAAAAAAAAAAAGATAAAAAAGAAAAAAATTCATCTCTTAACTTCAAATTAAAATAGTTATTGGATGGCTCCGGAAGTAATCACCGAAGGTGCGGCATATGACACAAAGGTTCGAAATCATCGATTCGTATCATTGAAATTTTTTTATTTCGCTCTTTTTCTAACATAATCTCGAATTAATAAAAAGGCCGATATATGGTCATTAGGAATTACCGTCTATGAAATAGCCACGGGGAATCCTCCGTATCACCACCTAAGTGCAATGAAAGCAATTCAACTTATACCAAAAAATAGGCCTGCGACTTTAGAGGGGCCTTTCTCACCAGCTATAAAAGAATTCGTGGCCGTTTGTCTCAACGAGATTCCTGCGGAGGTAAATCACCGATTGAACTTATTATTGTTTCGCGTACTTATCGTACGTATTTAATGATGTGATCATTTAATGCACCTCAACCTGTGGTAATCAAAGAGACTGACGGCCGATGAATTGATGAAAACAAAATTTATAAAGAGTGCGTCAAAACATCAAAATGGTATTTTACGTGATCTCATCGTAAGATTCGAACAATGGAAGCAGACAACCGATTATCGTCAATCTCTTTCGGACCCGTACGGAACCCCGTCAAGGTGTGATTTCGAAATTTCTATCAAGAAGTTATCCCGTTGAATATTTTAAATCATTCCAACACCTATGAATCTTGTATAGTGAGAGTGATTCATATGAATTTGAGGAAGGACACAAAGATGAAGATGATAACGATGCTTGGGTTTTCGATGTAAGATTATTATTTGTGTGTCATTTTGAATTACGAATATCGGAGGCATTCCGGCGAATTCTTTGTTCCGTTTTGTCATAGACCCTGCAAAAACACCGTAAATCACGTTCCCTGGGGTCACTGCGTTCCGATCAATTGTCGCCAGTCATGGAGGGTGACGAGCAAGCGGGATTAATAATAGATGGTAAGCAGAACCCCCCAAATAACGAAAGCGAGGACGCTGATCGAACGGTATTAGCACGAGATTCAACTGTCCGATACGGAAGGATTATATCTGAGGGTCTCCTTTCGCCAGCTACGCCGCTGTTTCAACGAAAATATTCAGAGTCTCAACAACACCCTTTGTTACAACTCTTTCGAAATGACGAGAGGTTTCAAGATAATGTCATCTCAAGAGAACCTGTTCCAACCAGTAACCCTACTATTACAATACCACCGGTGAATATAATTAATTTGATGCCTACCATGGAGGATTCACCTTCGAGAACAGTGACTAGAGAGAATCTTCAGGATCAATATCTAATTCCGAAACCTAAAGAAAATGATTCGGAAGGCGGTTCATGTGATGCCAAGCATAAATCTCCTTTGTCATTATCAACTGATATTTCCGCAGATCCACCGACGACAAAAGATCACGCAGCCTCGGCACCGGTGATCCCCAAAGTTACTCTTCCAACAAACTCCCAGGCAGATTCAAACGATCTGTCAACCTCTTTAAGTCAAAAGCCAAGTTCAAAAAAAGATGATGGATACTTCTCGAGTGCTCATTCCAATGGCCACGTGGAATCTAGCCCTGATAAGCCGTCTATAAATCAAGGATTGTTGACTCCACCGTTGCCACTTGTGAACGCGAAACTGAATAACAATGATCACGCGAGTATTAATCAACAATATTCTTTCCCTTCCGGAAGGATGAACTTTAGCAGGCACAATCCACCGGCGAGGCACGGAAGTTATGATCTTCCCCTTGATTCACCACAAGGTCTCCCTCTTTATAGATCGAGTAGTCAAGGAAAGGCTTATCCGTCACAGTCCGCACGACGCGTGAGATCTGCCACAACATTGAACGTAACAAACCGGTCTCCCGAGGATTCATTGGTGGCAAAACAGAGGCAACTCCAATCACAGCAAGATGGGAAGCTCAATGAGCCTGAACATGTGACCAAGTTCGGTGGAAACCTAGGTGTAGCCTTTACCAGACAACGTGCTACCAGTGTCGGTAATATTCAGAGATCTCCTAAATCAAAAGTAAGAATTCATTTAAACTCTATCTAGTTGGTGGGCGCTTTTGCGGGTTTTAATATTGCCCATTGTAATATTGTAGCTCATGCAAGACGATAACAGCGACAGTCACTCTACGCGTTTATTACCGCCGTCTCCATCCGCATCAAAATTTGCACTTAATTCCAATCCCCAAGTGCAAAATTCTCCAACAAGACAATTGTTTCTGAGTCAATCATCAACAATACTTAATGCAGGGCCAGAACTAAGATCATTAAAAATGGATAATTACAGAGGTTCCAGTGAAATTTTTGAAGATCTATCGAGGACTACTGATGATCTCATTCAGTGGTTGACCCTGTTAGATGCCGGTATCAATCAACTTTTGACAAGGTTTTAATTTTCTCATCATCGAGAAGAAAACTTTATTTGATGGTAATCGAACTCTTGAAGTAAATTTTCCGGTCGGGAGAAGATTCGAGGTGATGGTGTTTGGGTAACGGAAGCTATATGGGTTAACAAAAGCGTGCCGATAAATATAACTAACGGTGTTTTCTTGTATTTTATGTTCATTCGGATAATGATATATAGTCCATGTTTATTCTAAATATTGTACATTTACGTGTTTGATTAAGCGATGATTTTTTTTTTTTTTTTTTTTTTTTTTTTTTCAGCGCAAGTTATCAGTAATTTATCGCGACATAAAATCACCACTGAAAAATGAACCTCTTACATGTAAAGATAATAGTAATTCATATTCTATGACTAGCAACGCATCTGGCTTCTTATATTTCGGGTTTTTCACAAATTTGAAAGATTTCGTAATCGTCGATACAAAATTCGCTATCAGAATCTCGAATGGGTTTTTCATAACAATTCGGTTTACAAATAAACTTTTCTATATCACTCCCGTAAGCTGGATTCCCCGAATGAAAATCAGTGGTTCCAAAACGTACTGTATATCCGGAAGAGTTGTCAATTGCAAAGCCTGTTTCCTTCACTCGACTGAGAATAGAATTTTCTTTTGCATCCTTTCTCTTTAGAGAAAAGATAAAGCAATCCTTATCATCTCGCCATGCTGAAAATAAATTCTTGTCCCAACCAATCGGATTATAGCCTCCCAAAATTTCACCAGTATCCTTGACTTTAAAGACTACCACCAATCTTGGTTTTTGATGTGTGACATCCCAGAAAGTATTAATTCCAAATCCATCCTTGCTTCCTCTTAAAATTAATTTAAATTCATAGGGATTTTCTAAGTAACTGTAGTTTCTTTCTTTGCGATCGACCCAAGTAGATATCTCCAGCACATGTTCTCCAGTAATAATACTTGAATCTAATCTGATTTTACCGTTTGCATTCCTGTCAGGAAGGACATCGGATGACCTAATACGTTTAGGTAGAATTGCCGAGGAGATCGGTAAGTCGGGGGCAAGATGCCTTCCCAAAATGTCCAACCATAATCCGGGTTCGAGGATTTTGTTGAAAGGTAGAACTTTGGTGAAAATGTCTTGACCCGATATTTGAAAATATCGGATATGCGGCAAACATTTCTGAAGTGTAATCTTCAGGGTTTCAAAATTTTCCTCAGACCATTGCTCGGTTTTTCGTGGTAAGGTTGGATTCTGAGCGATCCCCCACTTAATTGTGTATTCCCAAATGGTTGATTCATCTAGCTGTAAATCATCTCGTTCAAGAATTGATACCAAAGCATTTACAGGTAAGCTTTTAAATCCATCGGATTCAAACACTGTGTTCGGATGTTTAGCAATAATGTTATTGCAAAATTGTTGAATCTTTTTGAATCCACCACTTTCGACTGATGCAGCAAAAACTTTACTAAAGTTAAGACGCAACCAAGAAGAGTGATTTTCAATGAGGCTGGATTCAAGAATAGATGCCAATTCGTAGAGTTCAAATTCTCTGACGACTAAAAGAATCTCAAAAATGATCGAGGCCTCCACCTCCTCTAGATCGGCTATCCCACCATAGATATATCTTACGATATGAAGCAGTGTTAATGTTAATAATAAGTAAGTATATTCACGCAAAATCCAGACAGCATAATTAATGTATTATGACTCACTCACTTAATTAGAATGTCAAATACTGTAACTGAAATGTGTTTTTTTGTCGATAATTTTGACATTATTTTTATCATAAGGGATGTCCCGTAGTTCTTTATACAAGTACGGGCATCGGCAACATAAAATAACGGAATGAACCTTGTACGCTTGCTTCAATGGTACCTCCCCTACTTCAATTATGACATTGTATTCGGAATTATTTTCAAGAAGTTTAGTATAATCCTGTGCTAAACTTTCAAGTAATTTGAAGTTCATCTTGAATGCGACATTAAATGCCAATGGCTTTGCTAAATGTTAAAGGAAACAACGGTAAATCCGGCCGGATTAACCCAAGTTTATTCGTCGCATTGACATTGCATGCACAGTGAAAATCCTGTTGTCATTGTATGCTAAACGCGTGCTGCATTAAATCATCTTCATTTCTTAGAAAAAACATTGATGTTTCGTTTCGGTCAATGATTCATGAAGACAGTTAAATAATCAATCACCAAAAAATCCCGTTAGATCTTTATCTTATTATTTAATTTTCATATCTTATCTATATTTAGTTAGCAGGTTACCCAAGTGAGCAGATCTGACATATTGACTCAATTTGGCAAATTTGGCAGATTTGGTTACTTTGATCACTTTGATCATCAAATAATTAATATTCAATCACATATATAAAGGCCAGTTGTCCAAAGCAGTTGATCCATCTTCTTGTTGATATCTTTATTTGTGAACTAATGGACT